GGGGGGGGGGTCACCACCCGCTGTGCTCCCCGCTTTTGCAGCCGGGGACCCCGGGCAGGGCTGGGGGTGGCAGAAGGATGCACCACCCCAAAAGCCCGGCTGGGTCCCCATGAGGATTTGCGGGGGGGGGGGGGACGACACACACACATGCATGGTGGGAGGTGGGGAATGAATGGGGTGGCGCTTCGTACCCCCAGACGGAGGGGTCCCGCACCCCCCCAAAGCCCCCTCCCCATGCGGGATGGGGGGGGTCACCCCGCCGGAGCGCGGCACCCCCTGAGCAGAGGCAGAGCCGGGGAATGGGGGGGGGGGGGCACCCCTTGAAGCAAAGAGTGGGCACCCAACACTCCCCCCGTCCACAGCGCGTGCGGCCACGCACCCAGCCGGTCCCGGGTGGGGTTGACCCCAGTATACCACCTCGGGGGAAAAAGACGGAGCGGGGGCTGGGGCTGGGGGGGGGTTGGGGGGGGGGGGGGGGTCGGGGGTCTCACCTCGAACATGAGGGCGATGAGGACGATGAGCACCAGGCAGAAGCCGATGTCGGCGTGGTTGTGGATGAGGAACTCCTGGCTGAAGAGCGGGTGGCTCTTGGCCCGCCGGCGGAAGGCCATGGCCGGGGCCGGGAGCGGAGCGGAGCGGGGAGCCGCCGCCCCGCCGCCCCCGCCGCGCCGCGAACTTCCCCGGGCCCCGCGCAACTTCGCGGAGCTCCCCCACGGCCCCGCGCAGGCGCCGCCGGAGCCCTCCCCGCCTCCCGAAACACCGCCCGGCCCCCGGCCCCCTTCCCCTCCTCCTTCCCCTCCCCGCTGCCCCGCGCGCGCCCCCCGGAGCTCCGTGGAGGGGGGGGGGGGGGGAGGTGTGGAGGCGCCCAGCGGGGGGATCGGAGCGCCCGCGGCCGCGTGTTGTGCGTGTCGGGGCGCCCCCAGCCGCGCCGGCAGCCCGCATCCGGACACCCACCCGCGTCTGCGCCCGCCTAATGCGCGCATCCGGGCGCCCACCGCCACCCGTGCCCGCCTGCCGTGCGCAGCCGGACGCCCACCCGCGCCCACCTAACGTCCACCTCTGGGTGCCCACTCGTGTCTGCGCCCACCTGATGTGCGCGTCCAGACACCCACCCCCCCACCTGTGCCCACATACCATCCACGCCTGGATGCCCGCCCGTGGCTGCGCCCACCTACCATGCACTTTTGGACACCCACCCCCCTACCTGCGCCCACCCACCGTCCACACCTGGATGCCCACCCGTGTCTGCGCCCACCTACCGCGCACATCTGGATGCCCCCCCACATCTGCACCCACCTACCATGCATGTCTGGACCCACCCCCCACCCGTGCCCACCTACCAGCCACACCTGGGTGCCCACCCGCGTCTGCACCCACCTACCACGCACATCTGGGTGCCCACACCCATCTCCACCCCCCTCCCCCATGCACCCCCAAGCCATGACTGCACCCAGCACCCACCCGTGGCCCAGCACCCACCCCCCCCGTGAACACCCTGACACCCACCTGCCTCTGCACACACCCACCCTCCCCCCCCCAAAGCCCACAGCCCCGGCGCTGAACCCCCAAATCTCCCTCCCCATTAACCAGGGAGAGGCCAGAGGTGCGGGGTGCCCCCCCCCCCCCCCATCCCCTTCCCAGACCCGCATCCCAGCTGGGGCTGGGGAGGAGCAGCCACCAGATGCTTCACAGCGTGGACGGAAAAATGCTTCAGCCAAGTCTCCAGGGCCGAGCGGTGGCACGTTCGCTGTTATTTATTGAAGCCAGTCCCTAAAAAAGCCCCCCCCCCAAAGCTCCCCACGGAGCCTGGAGGACATTAAGGGGAGCAGGCAGGGCCCTTCGCTTAGTAAAAATAGGGCGCAAACAGCGATTTTTGTTTTAGAGATCAAATGAAACAAACCCTGGATCCTTCAGCTTGTAGGATCTGGCCCGGCCCCTTCAGCATCCCCACATCCCCACGGATCCCTCGCAGCAAATCCCGTCCGGTGGCCGTGGGGGAGAGGGCACGCGGGAGCGAGGAAGCGCCGCTCCAGCCCGTTCGAGGGAACTGAGCCGTCTCAAACCTGCTGTTGAAAGCACAAAGAGTTTCCCTTCAGCCAAATCCAGCACAGGAAGCACAGTCCCTGGGTTCTCATTAAGCAGTTGTTCATATTAGGCAAGTCCCGATTAGCCATGTTTACCCTCCACAACCCCCCCCCCTCCGTGTTATTGTTTGGCCTTAGAGTGATGGGCACAGAGATGCAGCCTGGGCCAAGCCATTTACACAACAGTAAAGACACCAAAAAGGGATTTACAACAAATCAAAACTGTTTAATTAGCGGGGAAAAAAATGTCCAAAGTCTCAGCTTGGAAAAACCAATCAAATAATAACAACCCCGCAGCAAGTCCTTATGTTTTTTGTAATGTCCAAGTATTGTGCGTCAATATTTTTGGAAGTGAAAATACAGTTTTCTAGGAAAATCTTTCCTGGGTTAATTTGGGGCGGGGGGGAGGGCGTTGTATCACCTTGGAGCTGGAGAGAATGTTTTTCACTGAGCAAAACTGACCCCAAAATCTGGCACCCACGGGCAGGGCTCAGAAATTGGGCTGTAGAGGGAGGTGGGAAATGGTGCTACTGGGAGGCAAGATCCCAGCAGAGCTGGGGCAGGGCTGCCACCAAACCCGCTTTATTTTATTTCGCCTTGAAAGAGTGATGAGTGACCCACTAAAAATGTCCCCACAAGCCATGGGGACAGTGCCAGCAGGCCGGACAGTCACGTTCCCAAGCCCAGGCGCTCGCCCTGGTATTATTTCATTTATTAGGGACGTAGCCTCCGTTCCTGCCTGTTCACTCCTTTTTCCAGATCACCGGTGAGCGGCACAGCCAGTTCTCCTCGGGAGCCCGCGGGTCACTCCCTGCATTGTCAAAAATTCCCCGTCGATTCCTGCTCACCCCTCCCTTGCTGCCCTTTTGCAGCCCACGGGAGCTCCTCTCACCGGTGGCACTGAGCTCTCCTGAGCTGGGGCACGAGCCTCCACCCCGCTAAAGTGCTGGAGAGATTTTCCTCAAAAAAAAAAAACCCAAAACAAACAAAAAAGGTTCATAGGAGGCAAATGAGCAAAAATTTTCTATTCCAGAGCAGGCGAGAGCACAGGACAACCTGTGTATCCCCCCCTCCAGACCTTCTGTGGGTGGCTGAAAGCCAGATGTTGGCGATGAGCATCCCTCAAGACTGGGCAGATCCTAAGGTCTAGCTCAGGATAACGTATCTCATCCAAAAAGAACTTAATGGGAAATGCTGAAGAAGGAGCAGAGGGTCTGGCTGAGTTTCCTCAAGCGTTTGGGACAGTTGGAGGAAACATCAGCTGGTTCCCCTGAGCAGCTGGTTCGTTGCTGCTTTTCCCCAGCTGTCGTTTCTCCCGCAGCTTCATGTCTTGGGTTTGGGCTGGCCCAGCACCGCGTCGCTCCACGAAGAGCAGTGACCCGGGCTTTGGGGGACCTCCGCGCTCCGTGGGTTGCTGTGAAGGCAGAGGAGGGCGGGGAGCGACCATGTCACCCTGTGCCCAGGCACATGGGTACACCGCCGAATATATCGGGACGCAGCGCTGTGGTGGTGGTGACAGCCGGAGCTGGTTCTACCAAACCAGCAGGTTCCTGTGCCGCATCCAACGCGGGTCAGTGGCAGCTGCACCTTCGGACCTGAAGTCACCACGGGATCTTTGCAGACGGTTATGACTCCTCCCAACCCTGAACACTACCTTGGTGAGACCCTGGCAGGGGCTTCCGAACTTGCCTCATGGCCCAGTGATGCCTGGGGGGAGGTGGAAGGAGACTCCCACAGCCAATGTCATGTTCCCCCAGGCACTTGCTGTGCACAATATCGGCCACCTCCAGTACCCCAGAGCCCCCCGTTTTGCTCCCACTGGCTCCCATTTGCGATGTCACAGCAGCATCAGTCCCGCGGATCCTTCTCCTCCTGTAACCCTGGCGCTGGATGGACATACGGTGTCTGGAAAAAGGCATCCGCTTTTGAGGCCTTGAGCAGCATCTCCCTCTGGTGGCTGAGGAACAAGGAGCTATGGGGAGAAACACCTCCCCAGCGTGACTTCTTCCATCTGGCAGCGTTGGGAAAAATCTGGATGTGCGCCAGGTCATTGGGGTGACATCTTGAGTGTCCCCCCCTGCCCCAGAGATGGGAAGGATAGGGAGGGGTATCTGGAGCTGTGGTTTGCAGCTGGATAGCCCTCCTACTCCAAACAGGGCTTTAGGCTTACCTAAATTTAAAGAATTTCTACAGGTGGAGACCTGTGGTTCAGTGCTGGGATTGTACCCAGCACATAGGACTGGGACCTTGGGTGCAATGGGACTCTCACGCAGGCTGGAAGTCTTTAAGGGCAAATAACCCACATTATTTCACCCGATTGCACATTGCTCCCAAGGACAAGGTGAAGGGAAGCACAGCAAGATCTCACCAGTGACCATCTCCCATCATCGGGGAGCAAAGCCATGGGAATATGGCCCCCAACACCTACACCCCCATCCTTACCCCAGCCATCGTGCCCACTCCAGTGCCGTCCCCAGAGTACCCCCCTCTCTCCTCGCTGCTCCTCAACCCATCCGGGATTTCCACAGCCACCTCCTCTGTGGTCAGAGGTGTCAGCTCATGGTGCATCTCCAGGCCCTCTGTGCATCGTGGATGTGCTCTGAGAAATCAAAGTCCTCAGGTATGCCCGACTCCTGCGCCCAAAAGTATTCTGTACTTCCTTAAAACTGTCAGTTTAGCCGATTTTCTGACTGTCCCAGGGAATAGTTTCACAACGGCTGCTCAGTGCAGTCAGACCTTTACCATCTACAGTCAGCCCATGCCACTACAGAGCTTGCACGAAGCTGTAGGAAATAGCCCTCCTTACCATTTCATGACTCTTACCAATTTTTGCAGTTACAGCTAAACCAGACCCATGAATGTTCAGGACAGCCCCTGGTATACCCAAGTTTAGTTAGCACAAAGCCTATCATCCGCTGTAAACAGCAGCAGCCCTGTATTTATTGGGTGAAAAGCAAATAAATCGCTCACAAGTGCATCAAGGACGGTATAAATCCTTCTGTGTCTCAAGGCCCTGCTCCAGGACAGAACAGCAAACCCTCAATGCATTTGCTTTTCCTGCCTGATCTCGCCTTGTGATAACCAGCGCAGGTTTGAGGGCAGCCCGTATTTTGGGTAGTCGTCACTAAACATTTGATTTTTGTAGTCAGTGCAAATGACTACGGGCATGTAGGACTGCAACCATAAAGTGTAAAGCCAAGGCCAACACTGCCGTGCCTTGAGTAGAGCATCCGAGGAGAGATTCCCACCAAGCTCAATGCCATGCACTTGGGTTGGTGGCTTGTTTTCCAACCTGCCAGACCTCAGATGTTAGGGTTGGATGCTCTTACTACCCACAGCAAATGCTCAAAATCTACCCCCAAATATTACCAGTCTACTAAAGGGAAGGCTCTGGGTTAGGAAGAGAATGATCCTGCTGAGGGAGACTTTCTCGTCCTAGACTTGGTCCTGGTTTGGGGATGGGGTGAGAAGGCACCACTGCCTGGTTCAGCACCGCTCACCCTGCTCTGGGTGAGGTGGTGGGGGACAGGGGCAGCCGTCACCAGCCACCCCTCAGTGAACCCACTCTGGCAAGAGGGGGTGGGACAGGAATGACACAACCAACTCTTCCTCCCCGCATCTGCTGCCTGGCACAGAAATTTGGCCACTAAAGGGCTGCGTCCCCATCCCAAAGGGGTCCAGCTTGCCACCTGTGCTCCTCTTGAGCTGTTACTTGCCAGCAGCAACCAAATTCCCCAACCCATTGCTTATCTGCATGCCACATCGAAGTGCCCAGGTCCCACTGACTGACGTGGCCCCGGCTAGAAAGATGCTGGATGCAGATCCTTCTTCAAAATCCTGACAGGCACACCCTGGGGCTGCAGGAGAAAACGTAGGGAAGAGAGAAAGATGTGGAGTCCCCTGCCCGTTCATATCCGTGTCTTATCTTAGAACACCCTCCAGCTGGAGTAAAGGAAAAACCCTGCTCAATTAAATAAACAACTTGATTGGGGGCGGGTAGAATCGGAATGGGTAGAAAATCTAAGAAAACAGGAAAATGGAATTGCAAAGGAGAGGAGAGGAGGTGGGGTCACATGCAGGCAGGAAGCTGCACAGCGGTTTGCTCGCAAAGCAGCAGGAGATCGAGGTCCAACATCCCCTACAGCAGGGTCCAGAGAGGACTTCTCCACGCTTAGGTGCACCCCGCCAACACGAGGCACAGACACAGCAAAGTCTGGTTTTGCCTTTTAAAGAATCATTATATATTATCAAAGGTAGAAAACCAAACTCGATCGAAATTTCCACGGTGCCACGGCGGCTCTGCTGCCTTCTGTGTGATGCACACAGTGAGAAGGACTCTTCCAAAGCCGCTGCAACTGCCTCCTCCCTGCAGAGCACAGCCGCAGCACGGCAGCACTTCAAAACAGGGACCAGCTAGGTTTTCACTGCTCAGATCAGCTTGAAGAATCATCTGGCCGGGTCAATCCCGAGCAGCCAAGGCTATATGGAAGCTTGTTTTAATAATTCATCACATGCCTGGCCTTCCTGCGGCAACACTAGACCTCAATCAACATGTCAAGCCATGTCCTGGGCACAAACCCCTGTCTAGCCAGCCTGGCTGGAAGCATTACGATTTCCGAGGCCACTGTATTGAGGTTTTAGTTCCTGATATAAATAAACCATGCCTGAAATGGGGATTTCATGGTGGCAAGAGTATGCAGATCTGTTTAGAAATTTGGCTGGAGGCTAAATTTAGGAGGGAGCATCCAGTCAGATCTGGAGTATCTGCAGCTGGGTGGAAGGGGGCAAGGTACAATCTGGGCAGAAAAGGCCACCTGAGGAACCGAGGCAGTGGGCAAGCAAGCAGGACATGGCTTTTGTCTACAATTCAGAGTCCCGAGGTTGTGCTCTGCTGTATGAAGAGGATCTGTGATCCTATGTGGTCCCAGCAAATGGAGCTGGTAAATCTCTCAAGATGAACCCGGTGAGGGAAAAATAAATCAAGCACTGCTGAGACTTTAGGGCTTATTCTGCCCAGCAGGAAGGGCATCGGAGAGTAAAACTCATTATTTTTCTGGTTTAGGCACTCGTTTCTCCTGAGAAGGCTCCTACTTTGCAGCCCCTGGAGACAGCAGCCAGATCTCCGTGCTGGGACTTGTATAGGCACTTGTTAAAGGACACACTTGAAGACATGATCACAAATATACCAAAGGCAGCATACTCCAGCTGCCTAGGAGGACTATTACATAAATAAGTTTAATATATACTTAAACCTGGACTTTTAAGGCTTTTTAAGACCTCTGAAGGTCTCCAAAACTGCAAGTAGAAGATGCACTGGGAGGGAAGGTGATGTCCTTGAGATGGAGGACCACATCTTCCCAGCAGCAGGGGCACCATGGGGATAGTCTTCATGTCCAGCATTAACATCCCACCACCTCCTGCCGTACCCTATCGATGAGGCAGTCACCCCGATGCTGACCCAAAGTGACGGTGCAGCGATTTCAGGGTCACTCCAGCAACCCAGACAGGTCTGTCCCCTCTCCTGCCTCCCCCAGTCCTCGTTGTGGGCATTTAGAGTCAGCCTTGGGGGTGGAGGTGAAGCACGGCGGCCTCAGCTTGCTCCTCACGACAGCCTCTTGTGCGTCACAAGGATGGCTGTCCCGAAGGTGATGCCACCCCACGAGGGCACCCTCCAGCCCCACGGGCTCCGGGGCCTCTTTAGGGGGACCCATCACCCCACAGCCACCTATGCTGCTGAAGGAAGAGCTGCTCCGCAGATGCTTGTGGGCACAAGCGCCCGGGATTGGGCTGATGCTTGCCATCTCCAGGGATAAATCCCCTCCTCCTCCTCCTCCCGGGCTGCCTGGAGGAGTCTGGGCTTTGCTGTCCCTTTGCACCAGGGCCATGGACGTAGCTGTGGCTGTCCCCGTGTCGGGGGTGATGCCTCCTGCGCTCATGCTAAAATACACAGAGGAGCCCTCGGCTGGATCTGGGGAGAAGCTGCCGAAAAAGGATACGGCCAGGTGAAACCCAGGCTCCTGCCCTCCTCCGTCCTCCCGTGCCTTTCTCTCGGCACCAGCGCTGGGTTTGCTGCCTCCTCCATTCCCCACCACCTGCCATTTCTCATCAGTCCGACCAGATTCAACACCCCAAGGACCAATTTCCCTCGTGGGGAGGGAAAGGTTTGCCTCAGGCTCAACACTGATGGGTTTCCCCATCATCCATCCTCCGGGGTAAACCTCTCCCACACCACCATCTCCGAAAGCTGCGTTGATCATGGACATATCTCCTGTCTTCAAGGCCAGCTTTACCAGCAGCCAGTGGTGATGGTTTATCCAGCTCTCCTCCGAACACCCTCTGAACTGCAGGAGTGATGAGCCGTTCCCATTTTTGGGATCCATCGTGGTCCCTTCCCCTACCAAGAACTCTCCCTCTCCTGAAATTCCCAAACTCTGCCCTGCTTGGGAGCCCTGTCCAGCAACCTCGTCATCACCAGCAGCTGCAGCACCGCAGGTTGTCTCCAAGAAGCCCTGCCAGATCTCTGTGGACTTGGGATGGAGCAGGCTATAATAAACCACCAGAGCCACAGCACCTGAAAAGGAGCAGAAAGGTGTCAAGGGACAAGTCCCAGCAGCATTTCGGCAAGGTGTGGGGGAGAGACCAGACCTCGCTGCCAGCTCCGGATCAACAGACCCTTTGCAGAGATGCTGCCGTGCATGAGGTGTCCAAGCAGCATGTCTTTCAAGCATTTTTAGAGATGAAAGAATCCCACTCGAGCAGTTTTCAGTAAAGGGAGTGCTGAGCACACTCTCAAGACCAAATTTAATCTGGCTTGATTTGCAGACTGATGGGTGCACAGCGCTGGGAAAAAATGAGCCTGGTGGTGACCTCACCCCGCAAACAGCAGCTCCTGTCCTTGCTCAGTGCCAGTTTTGCAAATAGAGGTGCTCGTGGGTTGTTTGCCAGCATCGTACAACCTCTCCCCTCCTTCAGCTGAGTTGTGCATTACAGCTTTAGGGAATTTGGCCCAGTTTGGGGTTGTTCAACCTGAAGAAGAGAAGGCTCTGGGGATACCTTATAGTCACCTCCCAGGGCTTAAAGGGGGGACAGGAAAGGTGGGGAGGGACTCTGGATCAGGGGGTGGGGGGGTAGGAGGAGGGGTGACAGTTTTAAACTGCCAGAGGGGAGATTTAGATGAGATCTAAGGCAGAAATTCTTCCCTGTGCAGGGGGCGAGGCGCTGGCCCAGGGTGCCCAGAGCAGCTGTGGCTGCCCCCTCCCTGGAAGGGTTCAGGGCCAGGTTGGACGGGGCTGGGAGCCCCCTGGGCTGGGGGAAGGGGGCCCTGCCCGGGGCAGGGGGGTGGGACTAGATGATCTTTAAGGTCCCTTCCAACCCAAACCAGTCTGTGATTCTGTGACTGTATTAAATACACCAGATGGCCATAGCTGCTGCCTGCTTTATGTGCAGGGTATGGAGTAAGGCAGGGTATGGGCAAGGTACAGATGACCTTCTCCATCACATACCAAAAATCCTTCCCATGGACACAAAAAGCATTTTCATTTACCTAAGCAGCACTGGTCTTTGAAAAAAAAAAAAAACAGGGTGGGAGAAAGCTGCTCTAGTTCTGCATGGTCCCACACCGGCGTATTTCCAAAACATACCCAGTGATGGCTCATCAATCACAGGCCACCTTCATAAACCATCAGTATTAAGCTCAAATGAAAAGGTTTTCCTGCAGTGATCCCCTGTGTTATACCACTGCCTGCATTGATCACCAAGCACCAAGAGCACAGAAAACACAGATGTGCTTCAAAATTGCAGGTATTGTATTTGGCAGTGGTACCTGAACCTTTTGGCGACATCTCAATCATTTCTGGAAGCCTCTCGCTTCAAGGATGGGCTTTGAAGAAATGATGAAGAAATGAAACTCAAGGTGGATTTACATATTATCAAATACATTCAGACGCTAAAGCTGAAAGAAATAAAGGAAGCAGTCCAATGCAACTAAAATAACTGCTGATGCTCATTTACCTTCAAAACATGCAATCCAGGGTCTAAAAACCAGATCTTACCTATTACAGACCCCGACATGACAGCCCCGGTCATGCACAGGCTGTTCTTCAGCTCTGCCTGAAGGAACCGGGTGGCCAGCAGCAGCAGGAGAGTGTTCTCCATCAGCATTATCTGCAGAGCAAAGGGAAAAGAGTTGTCACTTTTACCCTTCTGATGTCTTTAGCAGTGCTTCCAATGACAGAAAACACCCAGTTTCTAGATTTTGCTGATGTATTTTGCACCTAACTTATCGCTTAAAACATAAAAGTTGCTGATCTGAACTTTCTGCAAGGTCTCGACCTTTTTTTTACCGTGAAAAATAACTCTGGCAGAGCAGCACAGACGCTCTGGTGTTGTTAAGACATTGTACGGCTGCTGCTAAGAAAACAAAGCCAGTGCAGAAGGTGCATCCACCGTGGTGACCACGTGGCTTTGTCAGGGCAAGGGAAATGCTGGGTTTTTATCATGTGGTGATGTGAGAGATGAGAAAGGAGAGTCTGAAGCTATTGCTTCTTCCCAGCTGCTGCATCCATGCGGAATACCGAATATCCTGGGTACTTACTGCATAAAACACAGCCACCCTGTGCTTGGAGGGACCGGGACGGACATTAATGTAGCAGAAGATGTACACAGCTCCCACCAGGCAATTGAACAGCCTCCAGTGGCAAGGCTGGGCCATGATGTCGGTCTGCTGGGCCACCAGCCAGAAGGACATGAGCAGCCAGTGGACACCTGTAAGGAAAAGGGATGGAAAAGGCAAAGCCATCCCTGGGGAGGGGGGGAGGCTGCACGGCGCTCCAGTACCAGCAGCATCTCTGGGGCTGAGAGCAGGATGGGACACGGGGATGGTGATCCTGGGTCTTACCTGCCACAGCAAAAACCCAGAAGGAATACAGCCTGGCAAAGAGCACCAGAGCCAGGACCCGGGTCCCCAGCATCCCCGTCCTCCAGAGCAGCAGGCAGAGGATGGCTGTGGCCGGAGGGCAGAGGTGGCCGGGTTTCAGCAGGCAGGAGAAGCGGCTGTAGGAGACCAAAGCCCAGGCGAGGGAGAGCAGGGAGAGCCCCGCGCTGACACCTGCACGGGGACAGGGATAGTCAGATGCTCTGAAGGATGCCCGACTGTGTTGTGAGGACCCTATCTCAACGCTAAGGAGCTGCTGGTAGCACGGCGCCCTGATGCAAGCCAGGCACCCTGCTGTCCTGCCAACTGGAGCCTTTCAACCAATTCCGGCTGAATCTGGTCTCCTTCGCACGCCTGGCATCTCCCAGCTTAAATCCTCTGACGGCTCCTTGCCCCTGGCAGAGCTCTGCAGCGGCAGGGCAGGTCCATCTCTGGTCACTGAGATGAGACCAGGGACTGACACCGACTTAAGCTTGTGGCTCCACACCCCAGCTTCTTCCTTTGCACACCTGAAAATTCACCTTTTCTACAAAGCAGCCCCAAAACCCTACATGCTCTAAAAACCTCTAAGCCTAAAAACCCTCTGATTAGGGCTGGACCATCAAGAGGAGCACATGTTGGGCCCAAACCCAGCCAAGGCACTGTCTTGCCATGGAGCTCCCCTCTCCAGGACTATACCGGCCAGAAGCCGTGGGTAGCTCAGAGGCTTCTCCAGGTTCAGCCACAGATCTTTAAGCCACATTTGTCCCTGCTGCTTTGCCCTGGGGCTTTCCAGCCCCTTTGCAGCTTGCTCCTCCACCCAGAGCCTGCCCTGCTTCCCGCCCGGGGATGGGCAGGGGGTGCTCCCCCACCCAAATGCCATCGCCCCTCTGCAACTCGGCAGCGTCTTCCCGGCAGCTCCCCGCTCACCAGGGATGAAGCCCGCTGGCTCGACGGCCACGACGACGTAGGCCTGCAGCAGGAGGTGAGGCAGGGTCTGCAGCAGGGCTTCCAGGAGCCCCAGCACGCACGCGTCCCCGTGCTGCGTCAGCACCTCCCCGGCACAAGCACTGCCGCCCGTCTTTGCCGCCAACCGTAAGACATCCCAGTACCTGCAAGAGCCGCTGTGATGGGATGTCCACCCTGGTTTTGGGACCGCGCCTGGGTTTGGGGTTGGGGGACTGTTAGGACGGGCCATGGGGAGCATCTCTCACCGTTTCCAGAGGCCCAGTTGCAGGAGGTGGAGCCCCAGGAGCCAGCAGCCGGGCGGGCGGCCGTCTGCCCTGAACCAGAGGATGCTGAGGAGCTGAGCCGCGTAGCCTGGCACCACGCAGGCGACGGTCAGCCCCAACCAGCCCAGCTGCCCGCGGATAAAGTAGTGGATGACGGCGCAGAGCCCTGGAGAAAGGCAAAGAGGCACCGCCGAGGGATGCCACAGCCACGCACACCCGGCAACTGAAAGGTGCTACCCGCAGCGCGCCTCAAATTCATCTCCCAGCCGCCGAGCAGGGTTTGCAAGAAATTGTCTTGGTCTTATCTCGGGGCTGCCAGCTCCCGGTGGCTTGTCAGCTGTGGCACAGCCATCGCCACCGAGGGGCCTGGCCCAAGGGAGGGCTCTGATAAAAAGTGCTCAAAGGCTCATGCTCCAAAGAAGTAATAATAATAATAATAAATATATATATATATATATAAAAATTTTCAAATTAAAAAAGAAATGGCTGGGGTCTGCGGGGATGCAGAAAGTCCGAGCCCCAGGGGTAGAACCGCGCACCCCCGCCTCCGCGTGTGCGCAGCCCCGCGCAACACACACACACACACACACACACACACACGCACGCACACCCCCACCCGCGCATCCTGCGCGCTTACTCACGCGCCCCGCGCTCCGCCGCCAGCAACGCCAAGCAGAGCCCCGGGAAGGTCCCGCGCATCCTGCGCGCCCCTTCCGCGGCGGCTGCACCGCGGAGGAGGAGGAGGAGGAGGAGGAGGAGGAGGAGGAGGAGGAGGAGGAGGAGGAGGAGGAGGAGGAAGGAGCCGCCGGGGCCGGTCCCGCCCCGCCCCGGCCCCATCGAGCACCTCCTCAAGTGCCTCCCCCCCCCGCCCCACTTCTTTCCCGCCGAGCGATATGACGTCACGTTGCTTGCGTCACGCGGGCTCCTCGGCGTCTTGCGGCCACCCAGACCGGCGGTGGTTGCACCAGCCCGAGACCGTGGGGGTTATTGTGCATTCGCACAAGCGCCTCCCAATGTGCCCCCCCCCCCCCCCAAGCTGTGCGCTTGCACAAGCCCACCCCGATGTCCCCAGTGCCCCCCGAGTTACTGTGTATTTGCACCAGCCCACCCCGATGTCCCGCAACTTCTACACCTGCACAAGCCCACCCCAATGTCCCCCCCAAGTTGTGCATTTGCACAAGCCCACCCCAACGTCCCCCCCAGGTCGCTGTGCACTCAGAGAAGCCCACCCCGATGCCCACCCCCCCCCCCAAAGTTGTCGTGCAGGTGCACCAGCCCACCCCAATATCCCCCCAAGTTGTCCACTCGCACAATCCCACCCCGATGTCCCCGATGTCCCTCAAGTTGTCGTCCACTTGCACAAGCCCACCCCGATATCCCCTTGTGCGCTGCCCCAGGGATGTGCATCAGCTGCAGGGCTGAGCACTAGGTGGCAGCCAGGACATGATGTCAGAAATTAATTCAGCTGGTTTCCACCCCCACCCAAGAGACAAAACCTCTGTGAAATGCGATCCCAGCCGTTGGTGGTTGCAGGTACCCTTGTGCATGCAGAAACCCGTTCTATCTGCTTTTTTTTTTTTCCCCTGCTCTCCAGCCCTGCAGACTCCAACCCCTAAGAAGAACGTGCTTTTTAGAAAATAAAGCCTCGGCAAGTTGCTACAGGAAAGGCCACGAAGTGGTTTTTAATAAGGTCCAAATATCATCTAAGGTCTTGCCTTTGCTTTTGCAAAATCATGCAAGGAACCTCCCTAAGCTTTGCCCATCAGCTGGGCTGTCAGGATTTATGTGTGCTTGGGGGCTTTCACGCGCGTTTGAGGGCTTTCACTCATTTACTGTTGTTTTTTGAAATTTTAGTGAGTTTCTTTGCAACCTTGAGAACAAAGCCTGGACTCTGCTGCTTAACAGGAGCAACATTTCTCACCCATTCAGCTGAGTCCTGGGGTGGAAACTTTTGGAAATACAAAATCTTAGTTTCTAAGGCTCTCTACAGATCCCTATTACGTTACACCTATAACACCCCTCTTTGATATTTGCATGTGAGCGATGAACTAAATCTCCTGTGTGTGCTCAGGGCCGTGGATGTGCTGTTGGCCAGGAAGCCAAACTGCTCAGAGATGTCATTGCCCGATTGTCCCTCCTCAAGGGAGCATCACCAAGGTCTCTGCTCAGCCTCCAGCACTGTTTTTTACCAAAAATGTAAGAAATTTGCATCTTTGCAGCTTCAACTCCAGTGTTTGAATTTGGTGACCAATGGGTTAAAAAAGTCACAGGTGGAAGGGGTAGCCTACTTCTCCTCTTGTCTTGATGCCACCTTTGTAATCAGCAAAGTGTTTCATTAACTAACAATGCTGAGCTGTTGGGCCCAGCTCCAGAGAAACATTTTAATAAAGTTAGGGATGTAAACAGGGCTTGGAGCCAAGGGAAGCTCATTCTTGGTTGTCTCCGAGCCATGTCCTCCACAGTTTATAGTATAACAAATACCACAGCTGCCAAGTGGCCCGTTCCTAGAAAACCCAACTTTTTGCATGCAAAGCACAACTACTCCTCTAACGGGCACCAAAGCCTCTTCCCAAGCTGAGGGCAGGCTGCTGAAGAACCGTCTTCGCTTGCAAATCCAGCAGTGAGGAAGTTGTGAGGGTTCGTGCAGATGGAATGTGGCATGACCCTTCCTGTGACCCACAGAAGACATGTGAACCTCATCATCTCATCCCCCCCCCCCCCCCCCCCCCATCATCATCATTCCCGGGAAGGAGCCACTCCGAGGCACCTCAACTGTTTGGTTTTTTTTTTCAGTCTCAGAATGACTGATGACAAAATTGGTCCCTCCTCCTGCCCAAAGGCTTTGTTCCAAGCCAGGAATAAATTCCCATGCCACACGAAACATGCCATTACCACCCCAAAACTATGCCAAGCAAAGAAGCAGAAAGCCTTCCAGAAGATATTCCCAGAGCTAGCCACCCTCCCCAGTTTCACTGGCAACTCCCAGTTGCTCTGGCTGCCATCCAGCCACTGGTTTGGCTGCGCTTTTCTCTGCTGGATTCCAGCACCCAGGAGCCTCTCTTGCTAAAAAACCCCTCAGGTCTCCAACAGAGCTACATCCAGAGGATGGTGAAGTCACCTCTCCATATTTTATACAGAGAGCTTAGCAAATGAAGGTCCTCCAGCTCCTCCATTCACACCTGTTTCTCCAACCTTCGAAGGATTTTTGGGGTCTCTCTGCTGCACCTTCTCATATTTTAACCCCCTTGTGAAGTGGGAGCACAAGTAGTTGCAGGGAGCTGGTAGTTGTGCTGCTGGGGCTGCACATAGAGAGACGTAACATCTTGGTAGGGCTGATTCTGGATTCAGTGTCTGTGTGGCTTTAGGCAATCTTTTTTTTGGGGGGGGGAGTTCTAAAATGGGAACAAATATTCCTTTCTGTGCAGAATCTGGATTTCTGGAGGCAAAGATGCATCTTGCTGAGATTTGAGTGTGCAAATAGCTTGAAGTGAGCTGGGCCTCGCTCACATGGTCATTGCTCTGGCTAAATGGTTGCTGAAATATCTGCCTGTCCATGCTGCCTGTGGAGGAGACGGTGCTCTGGATCAGGACATGGGAGCCAGCAGGTGTTGGTGTTAAGAGGATCATTCCTTTCAGGGTGGGGACATGTTGTGGTATCTATCCACACAAGAGTTTGTAATTAAAGGTTACAGTGTGCATCCTTTAAATATATTATTTGGATTCCAAATGCAAATGATAAATTCCTGCAGATCGCATTCATCAAAGCATTATAAATACAGGTCAATTCCTTCCTCTTGCAGTGTCTCTTGGTCTCAGCAGCTTTGTGGTGGAGCCACACAATGTCAACCAAAGCCATGAAGATACTCTTATTGCTGCTTATTCTTCTCCCTGCGGTGTCCCAGGCTGCTGCAGGTAAGTGTAAATACAACCAACAGGCATTTTTGGTTTTGAGAAACAGGGAGCGATACTGAAAATGAGGAATGAGGTTGTGATACGTGTGCAGCTGATGTGATACTTGGCGTTGAATCTGCCTGCCAGGCACTGAGCAGTCAAACCCCAGCTAGCCATTTCTGTGCCGAGGGGAGAGAGCATCACAGTTTGCAGAACTCGGGAATGCTTTCAGATATTGCAGGTTGACAGTGGTCCCCGAGGTGCCACTTGTGCTATCTGCAGATCAAGCAGTTGCGAACATGGGGACAGGCTTTCTTCACACTTGAAAATCCAAAGAAAGATCCTCACTGACTCTTTTTTTTTTTTTTTTTTTTCAATTCCAGTGTCAGACACTGTGATGTGTCGGAAGATCAAGGGTGACTGTTCATTCCTGCTGTGTCCCTTGTTTAAGAGAGCCACCGGTACCTGTTACAATGGGCTGGCAAAGTGCTGCAGGCCCTTATGGTGACCCTCCTCAGTCCATGCAGAGGCTGGTAGCGTCGGTAGCAGTGGCAGCAGTAGCGTAGTTTCATCCTTCTTTACGTGGGTATGTGTTGGTTCTGGTGCTGTCTTTCCTCAGAGCTGGTGGAAGCTACTTTTGCGTGTGGCCGTGCATCTGCTCTTCTCCTGTGCATCCACACCTGTGGAATCAGTGTGGCACCTCCTCATCTGCTGGGCCCTGTCCCTCCACTGGCACCGGGGCAGGGTTGAACTGGTAGCCTGAAACCGGGCAGCTCCTCTCCTCTCCCTGCCAAAGGGTGGTTTGTGGTGGGAATCAGGCAGATTTCCTCCTCGGGTTGGGGGATAGTGTGGTGTGTCCCGTGTGATGCTGAGATACCACAGCAGACCTCACCCATCCCATATACTCTCATGCAGTAGCCACACATGGAGCACTAATGGCCTTGGTTGCCACCCTGCTGTCCCAAGGGGAGAGCACAAAGCTGATTTCCAACCCCTGAAGAAGTGTAGTAGGGAAGGGGCTCCCTATTACATCCCTGATGCTTCACCTCGGTCGTGCCCATGGAGGGGTGAGGTGTGGAGGGCTGGTGCTAAGCAAGGCTCAGATCTGACAGTGCAGCCCCCTGGGACCCTCCTCTTCCAGCTCTTGGACTTCTGCTTTGCCCTTTCCACCCCCCACATGCCAAAGGGGTGCGGGGCAGGGACACCACTGCTTTCTCTCCCCATGTCTCTCCCACCTTGTCCCTGCCTGTGATTTGTCTCTGCCTTCATCCTCACCAGCCAGGTTCTGTTCTGCATGGTGGGGCCCCAGCTCCTCTGGCCAGACCTTCTCTCTCCCCTGGGCCATTGAGTTGCTCCTGCCTATGTAATATTTAGAAATATCTTGGTTAATGTCTGTTAACTTGCCCATCCTCTCCATGCAGGATGGCTGTCTTTCCTGAATAGATGGCTAAATGTGAAACATAACCCTTATTTTCTCATCTTCCCTGTAGGACCCCTTTTCTCTTTCATAAGACTATTTATTTTCCATATGCCCTTATAATCATCTCAAGGGAAGGTCTTTCATCTTCCACTTTTCCCATCGTATATCCTCAGAAGATGCTGTCCTGGCTTGGTCATCTGTCCAGCTTCTCAGAGGACATCTGGCTGATTCAGACCCTGTTCCGGACAGGAGGTCTGGTCAACTCTCATTTGACCTCTATCGTGATACAGCAAGGGCTGGAAACTGAAGTCTTCAGGGATGTTCTGCTGTTCTTTTGTAGGCTCTGCAAAATATCTCGGCAGTCTGTGCTCTTTTTCTCTTCTCTAACACATATTCCCTGTGTCCAAAGAGACTGTGGATTTTGAATTGTTTGAGTTGTGTAAATACCTAATAAAGCATGAATAACAACACGATGCACTTTACACAATTTATTGGTGAGGAGTGTTTTGATCCCTCCAGTTTATGAGGTGTAGGGCCTAGGTCCTATAGATCGTATATCCCTCCACATCTCATCATCAGGCATCTCCAAAACCTGGGAAAGATTTTCTAGGTCATCTCCTACCTGAGCCCAAGTCAAGAGGATGTTTGATTAACCCCACAGACAGGGAGCTCAGATTTGTTCAGCCCAGGAAGATGGCTTAAAAAATCTTATCAGACATTTGTGCTGCATTTGGTGTAGCAGCTTCTTCAGGCACAGCTGGTCCTACAAGGGCACTGCAGCTGACATTATGACATAGCACGTTGACACCACCAAAGAAAAAATAATTAATAATAACCGAGCTCTCCAAGCCCAAAGGTGCTATTCAAACCTTAATCACTCTTTCTATCTAGTGATTTGAAAGGCTTTTGTACTTGTGAACTGAGGCTTGCACCACCCTTAGGAGGTAGCCAAGCAAACAGAAGGTACCTGCTGTTGTAATTAAGCCACGCTCTTCCACTCAGGATTAATTTTAACCCTTTAATTCAGGAATAAGAAATGATAATAGCAAAAAGCAGATATTTGGTGGTATGCCAAAAAGTTGCAGCGACTCTGTCACGGGGCTAGCTCTCAGGAATAGTAAGTGAGACTCCTCAGTGGTTGTATAAACATAGCAATTAGGAAATCAAGTGCTTTACATAGTATGTAAGAATTGCTATTCATGTTGCACTGATGAAGAAACCAGGGCACAGAATAAGGAAGTGTCAACAAAGTCATCGCCTCCTGGTCACCCACAGCCAGGAGGAGGAGAAAGATCCTGGGGAGTTGTGCTCTGACGTCCTGAATTGTTTATCTTCTTTGAAAATAAATGCAGGCATTGTTAACAAAATAGCATGCAAAAACATCTTAGTTGTGACCAACAACTGGGGACAATTCATCCTTTGGTGTAGAGCATGATTGCTGACCGCTACATCTCAGAAAACGGAATAGTCATCACTATCATGGGGCAGACATGGAAAAATCTCTTCTTCACAGAACTCAGAAAGATCTACTCCATGGAAGAGGTGGATAATGTAAGAGTTAGGACTGTGCTGAACTGGAAATGCCATCATCGTTTGGAGGGGGTTCACAATTTGAGGTTCAGTGAAGCCCAACAAGACTGGGGAGCTGCACAGCCCATGCTTTACTCATCCAGTGGACAGGAAAAATGAGGAGCATCAAAACCACCTGCACAACTACATGCCTTGATTAGCCCTGCCCCTGCGGACAGGAGAGGAGGTAGAGAAGGCAAAGGGAGTCTCGGCTTGCCTACAGATGATGCCACATGGACCCAGCTGGCCCTCATGCATTGAGCCACCTGTGTGCACTTGTTTCAACCCGTGTTTTGCTACACACCCTAGCTGCAAATATTTTACAACACCTTAGAGAAGGATTTAAGCAATAATTCCTCCCTGTTGGACACAGGTATCTGGTCGCATCTTTTGCACATCATTCCCCTGCTCGAGGTGATGCAGCAGAGTAGTTGTGAGGGGTAGTTGTGGATGATGTCAGAAGATGCAGAGATCAAATTTTTGTTGCAGTGAAAGGATGATTCTTGGAACAACTAGTCCTGGCATCCACAAGAAGAGGCGCCTTCCTGGATTTGGTCGTGAGTAGTTCAAAGGACCTAAATCAAACGTTGTTTGTGAAAGCTGCTCTGTAAAAGTAACCACAGTGCAATTAGGCTTAACCGTGTTGTGGGACCACATATATTCAATATGTGAATATCTAATCTCAAAAAAGCAAAAATGAGGAAAGAAAAGCACCAAAAGGAGTAATCCAGAGGAGCAAGAAGCCTGCAGGCAGCCTGAAAGCTGTTAACAAGGCTGTGCTAGAAACCTCAGTAAAATATTTGCTTTGACTGGGAAAGAAAACAAAGAGGTCTAAGAAAAATCCCTGCAGGGAATGAAGGGCAAGTCAAGGGAGGCTCTCGAAGGGAGGCGCTCAGTGGTGAACAAACAGCTGACAGAGGAGAACAGCAGTTCCCATAAAACGTGGCAGGTCAGATTCAAGTGGGAAAGAGAGCTAAAATGGAAAGCAAAGATCCCTTTGCAACAGACACCTGAACTGATAGTAGAAGTGTCTGTAAATGCATGGAAAGCAATAAACCACTGGGGGAGTCCTTGATGAGAAAGGAGTAGGAGGACACTTAGGGGTGGCATGCTGTAGTTCAGTACATTCTTCTGTCCCTGGCAAGATAGTAAAAGCTGTAATGAAAATGAAATTGTAGAGCGTGGTCTGGGAATTTCTGGACATTGTCTGTGGAGGTAGGCGACACCAGCAGGCCTGAAAAGGGTTAGACAAATTCAGGGACAGCAGGTCCTTAAATGGGTATTGAAAGGATGGGCCAGGATGTCCCCTGCAACATTGCTAATTTTGCAATTATGGATGGCGGGGCAAAATGGGAGGACTGGGCCACAGATAGTGCCCAGGCTCACATGCTCTCCCTGAACAGCAGGGAAGGCATGGAAAGAGAAGGCAAAAAGAGAAGCAAAGAGAAGGCATGGAAAGGGGTTGCAAAGGAGGAAAAACAATATCCAGAGGCAGGCAAGGGAGGGCAATATGCTGCTGACTGTGGTGTATAATTGCAAGCAATGAATCTGTAAACTGTTTTTCTGCTTACCTGTGAGCTGTGGATGAAAATGTGCAGCTCTTGGAAGAGCCTGTGGTTTGGCCCGTGTTGTGGCAGTGCCAGTGCAAAGGTGACAGCAGGGACTTCAGCTGCTCAGAGCTTTCTCGTGGAGAAACCTCTGGGAAACACCTTGGTGGGGTTGCTCACGCATCCCTCAGCTTTTGTGAGCTGGCTGTCCATTGATGCAAGCCTCCACGGTCTTCAGCTTTTGTTGGGAGGCTGAAATCCTTTCCACCTTCAATTCCTTAACTATTTAATTAATACAGTTGCTCTCTGGAGCACCTCTTATTGGATGGCTTTGCTTTGCAGAATTGTTAACCCAGTAAGTCCCTGTTTTGCCAACTGTAACACCTGAGTGTTGACAGACTCATCACTCACAAGACCTAATCTACTACTTCATGCTCCTGGAGGTGCAGAAACTGCAGCGAGCCCAGGGCAGGCAGCAAAGAAAGCTTTGACCACAACTAGGTTAGCCTCGAGGTCTATAAAACCTCTGCATTTGGAGAGAAATCAGAAGCAAATATATTCAAGCTAAAATGGTGAATGTAACCAGAGCAATGTCTTCTACAGTTTAAGACTGTATTCTGCTCCTCACTGTGCTGAGAGGTGTACATCAGAAGAAACTCTGCTGAAATCATTGCATCAACTTCTGATATCGTGAAGATCAGAATCCATCCATGGCTGAGCAAGGGAAGTGTCACCAAAAGGTAACAATGCTGAACTTCTAGCCTTTTTCTCCTTGATAACCCATTGCCAAAAGGTCCCAGGATCTAATCCTGCTGGGCACCAGAAACTTCAGGCAGAAGGAGGCTTTCCTCTCTTTTCTACCTGAAAGGCACGCTGGAAAATTGGCCACAGATTTGTTGAGGCAGAGATTGCTTTCTCCTTGACTCCGGCAATGTCACAGAGGTCCAGGAGGTTGTGCTGTAAGACAGCAGGGATGGACTTATCATCAACTCTAACGAAGGATTGCGCAACCTCCACATGAAATGAAATAACTGTCTAGTTCATTGATAACACTCAGATACACATGACTATCCTCATGAAAACCTGAAGCGCATTTCTGTAGAAATCAAAATTAATACATAAAGCTAGGAATCATTGCATATCCCTGAAATGACTGGCTGATATATTAAAATCTGTGCTTTTTTTTCTCTTTTCAAGTTACAAGCGCAAAGGCCAGCTTAAGCCCAACACCTTCCCATAATTTAGCCATAGGCTCTAAAATAACCCCAGTACAGCTGTGCCAGTGAATCAAACAGGGCAGGACCTGGGCACTGGAGCACAAACCTTTCTACTGTGCAGTTCTCAGATCTTGGCTCTTGCACTCTCCCTGCGATGTCCAGATGCAGTCCAAAAGCTGGCAGAAACCAGGGACAGTTCCGAGCAGGCAATTTAGGTGAAGCTAAACCATGCTGGAGGATGAGTTTAATATTACGGATGTGGTCAGACTCTGCTTTTTGGCCTGGAGATAAACCTGGTGGAGGTTATCTCCCTAACAGAGATATGACCATCAAGTAGCAACTTCTGTGCTCAGAGAGCAGTTAAATTGAATAACTTCAACTGGCATGACTCATGCCAACCATGAAGCCTGCCTGAGCTGTGCAGTTTCAATATAGCTTCAGGTTTATGATTTTCTTCCATGCCACGAGGACCAAAAGTTGAGGATGAGGGGCATGCCTTAGAAAGATAAGTGCTCTGTGGACATCTGTGTGGACATCGGCTGGGTAAATCCCACCAGACCCCACTATGTACCATTTCCCTGAGGGATCTCATCACACAGCATCAGCTTCCAAACGAGCTGTACAGAATGACCATCCAGAGGCACGGCAGCCTGTATATCTGTTTTTATTGTGCTGGAGAGTAACTGCCACCAAGCCTCAGCCAGCAAGCAGTAGATATATGGCACAGGAACCTTGAGCGAGCTGCCGTGGCCAAACACATTGCACAAACAGAGGTGGCCCGAGGCAGTTGGCATGCAGCTCAGCACATTTCCCAAGGTGATGCTGCAATACTTTGAAAGTGATACCTCGGTTCCTCATAGGTGGATTGTAACAGAGAGGATGCATTGGACCTCCCCGATGCTCCCCAAAGCTGTGAAGATTGTCTGATTGGCCACCAGAAGGTTGTGAAGGTCAAGCAACCTTCACCACCCTCCAGAAACAGCATAAAGCCAAGCTCTGCTCCTTCATCTTAATGCATCTGAGTGGCTGACACTGATCCAAGGACTGTTCCAACCTAGAGCCTCTTACCTGGTAACAACCAAAATCTTCTCATTATTTAGCCTTGCTTAAAAAGTTCTGTCCTTAAACAGGCTAGCG